AGGAATGCTGTCTTCAAGATAAATCCTGGAGAGCAACAGCAACTCAAGTAACAACACAGCAGAATTTTGAAACGTGCCATTTTTTTCATTCTTTGGATGACAGCCACTGAGAGGTTATATGAGCTGGGGCATCAAGTGGTTAGGGCAGCATATTAGTTTGTCAGAAATATCAGAGCTATCAACTTTCTTTGACACTCCAAAAATGTCTTAAAGACCTAAATAAGGATGCAGGCCAGATCATGTTCTGGATTTAACAAAGAAGTCAGTCCGTATCCTGAAAAAAAAAATCTATTTCAACAGAAATAAAAATCAAGGAGTAATACACAAACCATGAAATGCCAAACTTCAGATTTGTAAAACACTACAGTATATCGTAGTCATAAAACAATTAAATTTGCAGTCCCTTCTACTGTAAAAATCTCTGGACATTTGTTGTACTAAAAGAGTGAAAAAGGAGACAATTTCATCCAACAAAGTCAATCAATATCAAAACATCCATTAACTTTGATGAGTCAGGATTGAAAACACTGAGCAATTCATAACATAAATTCTATTGCAGACAAGACATACCATATTATATACACAAGGCACTTGTGCATATAACATTATATTACACTAACTGAACACCACAACATAATGGAAGGGGGCCACCTGCAACCATTTATTAAACTCTTAGTATAATGCTCTTAAATCTGCCAGTGAACAGAGCAGTTTGGTTATGTTCAAGATCCTTTTGTTTCAAATGGAAAGTCATCGCCACTGCAAATATTTAGCATTGTTTACCCAAATGATGTAAGAGCATCAGGAGCCAAAACAACCATTCCTCTGGACAAATCCTCCCCGGCCCCAGGTCTATCCAGCCAGCAGTTGAGAGATGGGTCCATCGTGGCAAATGCTACCTTGTTTTCCCTCACTATTTGTTTATTCATCCACTGAATTGTATGAACAAGCTGAACCTCATCCCAGGGTTATTTACACGGGGTAACATCCTTTACACCTTACCCCCGCTGCCATTTCAGCTAGCGTGCAGCTTGAACCCACTGATGCTAGCACTGACCTTTCATTCAGCTCCACTTTTGGCTACGTGGTTGCAATTTCCCTTACGCAACATCCCAAGAACTACATGTTTCTGCCTTTGTGCTCCATTGGTTTTGTTGTTCAAACTTCTCCATATTTTTTGCGAGGCAGGAAACCACCAACCATTTTATGGGCCCTGGCATCCCGTCAGCAAAAACAGAACACTTCACCTCCACCGTGACATTTGATTTCTGTGAGGTATGTTTGAAATGAGGGCAGGATTTTCAGTTTAGGGGAGTTTTTTTCCGCTGGACACTTGTGTCCCTGACACTTGCTCGGCTCCCCAAGCCACCCATCCCCTCTGGATGCCCAGTCTGTGTCTCATCGCGTCTGCCTGGGCCAGGGTTTGATGCTGCGCCTCTGAAGAAGGGATGGGCAGCGAAGCTGGCCCTGCCCTAACGCACCAACAGAGGTTTGCCAGCTGCCAGCAGGAAGAGTGTCATCCTTCTGCTGTTTTCTCACCACCCCTTCCTCCCTCTGAAGTGTCCTAGGCCCAGCTTTACCTGCTATGCCTTGGGAAGGCTCCTCGGACTCCTTAGCGAAGTCCTGATTCAGCTCAAGACCAGGGGTTTGAATCAGGGGGAGGGAAAAAGGCAATTTCCCAGAGCAGCCGAAGCCCAGAGGGGCGGCCGAGCGGGAAAGGGGCGGCCCTGGAGAGATGTGGTGTCCGCGGCGAGGACCCGCTGTCCCCCTGCGAGGCACCTCCC